ATGCGCTTCGGCCGGCTGGGCGCGTTGGGCACACCAGAGGCGGCGCGGCGCGTCGCACCTGACGTAAGCGGCTTGCTGACATCCGTGAAGGGCAATGCCCCACTCACGCGTTTTGGTCTTGGTGGCGGCGGCGGCCAGGGTGGTGGCGGCGTTGGCCTCGGCAGTGGAGCGTTGGGGCGGCACACAAAGCCGCCTGAGGGTGTGAAGGAGGTCGAGGCGCACATACGCCAGCGCATTGATGATGATATCGACGCACGACGGCGGGCAATGCGGCTGCAGCACGAGAGGCAGGTGGCTGAGGAGCGTGCGACGTTGGAAGCGACGCGGAGAAAGGTGAGCGAAGACGGCGAGCGCAAAATCGCTTTGGAGCGGCAGCAGGATGCACAGGGCGTGCAGAAGAATGCAGAGTCGGAGTTGGAGGCGGCGCGGCGAGCGTTGGAGAAGCAGCACGCGGAGGCGAAAGAGCGTGTGGCGGCGCTGCGGCGTGGTTTGCAACAGGAGCGGGTCGCGCTGGAGAGCGCGCTGCAGCAGCGTGTGGTGGAGGCGAAAGAGAAGTTACAAACAGGCCAAACAGAGGCTATGAAGCAGCAGCGTGCGGCATCCGCCACCGCGCTGGAAAAGGAGAAGGCCAAACTGGCTGAGGACTACGCAAAGCAGCTGAGAGAGGAGACTGAAAGATTATCACGCAACGTGAAGGAAAACGTCGACACTTATGAAAAGGAACTGCGGGTGGCACAAGACAAGTTGGAAAAGGAGCTTTTGGCCAAACAGAATGCATCATCTGCTCGACGCACTGCGGCCGCGGCCGACGCCTCAAAGGCTATGCCAGTTGCAAATGTTGCTGTTGCTGGCGAAGTGGCGGAGGCGCAGCAAGCGTACGAGGCGGCAGTGCAGAAGGCAACCGCTGAGGAAGCTGCCGTACTTGACAAGTTGCGTCGTGACTACACCGTCAGAGTGGAGAAGCTGGAGGCTGCAAAAGCAGCGAAGCAGCAGGAGATCAAAGCTGCTGCTGCTGCTGCGGCACAACCACAGGATGCGGTGGCCAAGGCAGCTCTACAGAAGAAGCAGATGGAGGAGGAGGAGGCGCGGCTCAAGAAGGCACTAGAGGAAAGAACGACGCGTTACGCTGAGGAGACAGAGCGGCTGGTGGCAGCGAGACGAGCGGCATGCGAAAGGTCCAGCACAATGACACGGGCGCCCAGCAATGCGGGTGGTAGCAATAACAGTAGCATCAGCAGTAACAGTAAGACCGGCAACCGCACCTCATCTACGACAGCGACAACTGCTGTGCAAGAGCAACGCCGCTTCGACGTGGCATCGCGAAACCTAGACACAAAGCATACACATGCGATGGAGCTCATACGTAGCGAACACGAGAAGGCGCTGCGTGAGCGGAAGCTCTTTGACCTGCGCCAGGCTCCCGGCTACCAAGAAAAGGTACAGGAACGGCAGAAGGCGTGGCTGGCAGCAAACCCGCAGCCGACGCTGACGATGCCGCAGCTGCAGCCAGTGCCGTCGGCGCCCGGGTTGTTGAGCGCGCCATCGGTGGCGATGCCGAGTGAGGCGGAGCAGAAGAAGCGCATCAGCGCCGCCGTCGCCACGGCGAAGGAGGCACAAGCGTGCGAGTTTGAGAAGAAGTTGGCTGACATGCAGTCAGCGCTGGCGAAGGAAATGAAGGAGGCAGTGGATGCATACCGTGCAAAGCGGCTGCAGGAGGTAAAGGCGCAGCTCGTGCAGTTCCGTGAGGCGCAGGCGGCGCAGCACAGGCAGCGCCTCGACAGCGCAGCGGCTGCCATCGCAGCAGAGGCGGAGGCGCTCGCGGCGCAGCAGTTGCCACAGAGCTTGACACTCCCGACGCCGTCTCCGAGCCCGGAGAATCCTGTGCTGAAGGTGGACGAGGTAGCGATGGAGGAGGCGGCGAAGCGCGAGGGTGAGCTGCGGCAGCGAATGCAGGCACGAATTGACGCGCTGCAGGCGAGTGTACATGCTGCACAGGCGGAGCTGCAGCAGCGACGGGAGGAGGTGCAGGCGAAGGCCGCCACCGCCGCTGCGGCGTCGCAGCGCCCTCCGACTGTGCCGACGCCGGCACAAGCACTGGGACGCCATGAGTCGCTACTGCAGACACCGCGCCCCATGCAGCAGCAGCAGCAGCAGCAACAACAACAACAACAGATGCTACAAGTGGATGCCTCTACGCCTCTGCTGAACCGTACCTTGTCTACTATTCTCCCTATTAATAGTCTCTCTAGCAGTGCGCGACCGAGTCCGACGCGGCCGTTCTCGTGGCTTGACACTGGCGGTGGAGCGCCGACACTCCCGTGGCAAGAAAGCAACGACACATCGGCGCGAGCTAGGCTGGCGGCAAACGCGGCATTGCCCACTCCCTCTCAGCAGGACGTTGTCTATGAGGATCGTCTCTTCCGCGCCGCGCTTCTGGTGCGGGAGAAGAAGGATGAGGTGCGTGCGCAACAGGTACGTATAGAGCGAGCGCGGGAGATTTGGCTGCAGGACATGGAGGATTGCCGCCGACGACACAATCGTGATCACGCGGTTGTGCTGCGTCAAATGAAAGTGGCACTGGAAGAAAAGGCACGACAGCTTAACCGTGATGTGCTGGAATTGAAGCGCGCCTCCTTATGGCTGCGAGAGCGCGAGTTGCGCTACAGGCGTGCGATAAACCCAAGGCCTGCAAACCCTACTGCGGTCACCGACACAGCTGTTGCTGTTGCTGGTGCTGGTGCTGGTGGTAGTAGTTGTAATGGTAGGGGTTTGGCTAATATTGCCTCTGCTGGTGGTGGTAATGATAATGGTGGCACAGGGCGGCTTATTGGGCTTCTGAATAGCATGCTTGCCAACACGCAGCTGTTGGAGTCGTACATTGCCACCCCCAACACCACTGCGTCGACACACACGCACCGCCCGCGTCCACGTCAGGAGGCCGGTCAGAGCAACCGACACATGGATGCGGTGAGGGCGTGGTCCAATGCCAGGCCCAGTGGTGTTGAGCGATGGCTGGAGGAGCAGCAGCGGCTCCCGTCGTGAGGCCACGTCACTCCTGAACACATACACATACAGGCCCACAAAGAGACCCACACACGCACGCGCGCGCCTATACCCAGGCTGTAAAGAATAACCTCTACTTATGAATAGATGTGCATGTATTTGTGTGTAATATAGGAGTCTTTATGCGAGTGTTTGAATTGTACTGTGATCGTGCAGCACTATCTCGCGGCGACTTGCTTCTGTGGACTAGACACGAGAGGGTGTCTGCCTTCAACTCCCCTTTCTTTTGTCGTGTTTTTTTTTACCTTTCCTGTTTGTCTGTTTGTCTGCGTGTGTTGCCGTTATATACATGCAAGCGCACACACTTCATTCTGGACACTCTTCCGCCTTCGTACTGTACCCCCACTCACCTCTTCATCCCTTAGTCTCACTCTCACTTTTTTTTTGGGACGCATACACTTACCCACTTTCTTTCTTTTCCCTTCCACAATATGTGCATCCTGTATGATTATTTAGAGCGTGTGCCTTCTGTGCTGGTGGCGAGTGAGAATGCGATAAAACTGGGGAAGAGATTTGATGCTTCTATGCACCAGCGGACAGCCGCACAGAGCCGCTGGCTATTCCCCTTCATCCCCTTCTCTCAGGCACAACAAACATGCGTAGATACATTCATGGATGCGTACCTACTTTCTTTTCCCCCATTTATATACCTTTCTTTCATTAATACATGTGCAGAGTGTTTATTTTCATTATTATTTATTTATTTTTGGCATCAAGCAAGTCATACGCGTTGCTGCAGCTATGGGCGTTCCAAGGTTTGCAGCATGGCTAATGAAAAAGTACCCCGCGATGGCCAGCAGCAGCTCTCCAGCTGTCACCCATGGCCTCTACATTGACCTCAACGGCCTCATCCACCCGTGCTGCCACAGCGATGAGGACGCCTCGGTGGTACAACGCTCAGAGAGTGAGAAACTGCAGTGCATCTGCCGCGAGGTGGAGGTGCTCGTGGCGACGGTGCGGCCGCGCGAGTTGATCTACATCGCCACAGACGGTGTGGCGCCGCGAGCGAAGATGAACCAGCAGCGTGCGCGGCGGTACATGGGCCGCGCGAAGGCGACAAACCCCAGCGTAGCTATCGTCGAGGAGGTGGTGCAAGAATTCGAGCCGCACGAGATGGCACAGGTCGATGACGAGCTGGATGGCGTGCGCCAGTCACTGCTGCAGGACGCACTGTACGGCGGTGTGACGCTGGGTGAGGAGCGGAGCCCCGCGGAGGAGGTGGCGGGGGCCGCTGTAGTTGGCGACGTCACGCTTGACGTGAATAACGACATGATACATATCAACAACAGCGAGAATGATGGCGGTAAAAATGATATCTTCGCCGCAATGGAGGGGCTCGTTGAAGACACTGTGAAGGCTGAGGATTTCGACAGCAACTGCATCAGTCCAGGCACCGCTTTCATGGCGAAGGTCGCGGCTTCCGTTCTTGAAATGGTGCAGGAGAGACTCGCAGGTGACGACCCGCTCTGGACGCGAACACGTGTGGTGGTGTCTAGCGCCCAAACACCAGGCGAGGGCGAGCATAAGATCATTGACTTCCTGCGCACACAATCGTCGTACCCAGGCTTTAACGGCAAAGGAGCGCACGTGATTGCCGGACTCGATGCCGATTTGATATTTCTCGCACTCTCGCTGCACATTCCACACGTTTTCATTTTACGTGACAAGAAACGAAACCCCTACAATGCCAAGTCTGGAAAAGAGAAGCGGCAGAGGTGGAAGAAAGGGGCGGGTGACACTCGAGACACCCAAACCGATGAAGGAGGAGATGACGAGGTGGAAGACGGGGAATTTGGTGTAATTGATGACAGTGAAAGCACCAGGAGCAATAACAAGAATGGGAGAGCAGCTGCAGCGGCGGCAATAAAACCGAACAAATCGTACGAGTACTTCGAAATTGACACCGTGGGCTCATGCCTCATGTCGGAGTTGAATGGGCTTTGCCAGATGAAGGGGTTTTCGCCGGCAAGTGAGGAGGCATTTAGCCCAGAGCTACTTGTCTCGGCGAACGGATACCACTTCTGCCGTCACGCTGGATGCGCCGACGGGGCTTTGAGAAGTTTGTTTTCCGACGAGCGGAAGCACCAACAGCAACACCAAAGTTCCGACTGGCGAAAGTTCCGACCATGTGCCTCAAATGCAAACAGCAAGGTTATTGACGATGTAATTGTGTTGGCGATGCTGATGGGGAACGACTTCCTCCCTCGGCTTCCTAGTGTCTTCTGCGGAGAGAGTGCTCTCGACAACCTACTGGAATTGTACGTGACGGAGGTGCTGCCGTATGGCTTCCTGACGGCGGGCAATCACGAGATCAATCTGCCGCAGCTGAGGCGCTTGCTTCAATCGTACGCGAAAATTGAGGCAGTACATTTCCGCCGCTTCCAACTGAGTCAAGAGGCCATGACGCTGCAGGAGACCGCGGCGCCGCTCTCCTCAGCGGTGGATGAACGGTGGCGAAAGCCGTACCTCGCCTCTACAGGCCTCGCTAGCCACATCGACGAGGCGTGTGCAAAGTACGTTGAAGGGCTCCGCTTCGTCTGGCGTTACTACAGCGGCAATTCGGCGACGTGTAGCTGGTCGTGGTACTACCCTTTCCACCACGCACCCTTTGCAGCAGATTTAGCGACATTTCTGCAGAATTGTGACTTGGCAAGACTGCCGCCGCCACCGCTCGAGACGACACCACCAGACACATTGGTGCAACTGCTGTGCATTCTGCCACCGACGAGCCACGCACTGCTGCCGCCTGTGGTGGGCAACGTTATGCTGGCTCCACCAGACGAGCTGCGCGAAACGTTCCCCACCACATGGCGCATCGACTACACCTCCGCCTTCGGGAAGGAGTACCTCGCCGCTGTGATGCTACCCTTCGCTAACGTGGCGCGTCTCCATCAGCTTGTAGAGGCTGTACGGCAGCAGCTCACCGAAGAGGAAGGGCAGCGATTGGAGCAGCTTGACTATCATCTCGTGTTGAGTTCACAAACGACGACATTCAACCTGCATGGCGACGAGAGCGAGCTCAGCGCAAAGGATGCCGCTCTGTGGGGTGTGCAGCACGAAGGCGTGACGTGCGTGCGATTGCGTGACAGCCCGCCGGAGCGTGGGCGGCCCAAGACGTACTCGTCCACCGTCGCCATCCCGTGGGTCACCTGCGACACAACCGGAAACCCCTATCGACGCGAGCGCCGCTCACACCGCAAGCGACGCGAGGAAGTAGAGGGCGCGAAAACCAACAGCGGCGTCACGCTGATCAACAAGGGCCCGTCACTCGCGGCCTATTTTGCGGGTCTTGCGGCGGCCTCGGTGCTGACGGCCTTGGCAGTGCTGCCGTGGACAATGCTGCACCCTCTTCAGGTTTTGGCGGTGAACCTGGTTGGCATAGCGCTCACCTTCGTGATTGGCATTGCTGTGCACGACCCTGTCAACGGGAGCGGCATCCGACGCAACAACATTCCCATGACGTATGTTGATTGGCTCTGTGCTGACTGCCTTTGCCTCAATTTTGCGCTCAGGGACAAGTGTTTTGTCTGCCGCGCGCCGTTTGATGAGCACCGGTGCCTGGCCGTATTCAGCAACACACGGACTGCGACGCCGCCAGTGTACGATCCCGATCACACGCCATATATAGAGACTGTTGGTCTTGTGCTGGACCGAACAGAAGCGGACACAGAAATTTAGGGGAGTATCCGATGACCGTTTCTCTGCGGTGCATTTACTTTCTTTACTTTCTTATCTATTTACCTATTCATACACCCTCTCCAGCTACGCACGCAGGCATACGTAAGTATGTGTAAATCTCTGGTGTGTATGTATGCATCTCTGTGTGTGTGTGTGTGTGTGTGTGTGTGTATCTCCTGGCTTCGTTGACGTCTTGCTTCACCTCCTCCTCACAGCTCTCTCCTTTTTCTCGTGTTGGTTTGTTTGCTTCTCCCGGTTTCAGGGAGATCGACAAAATATAAAGACGCAAAACAAAAAGAAATAAGGGACAGAACCAACGCATAACAAAACGTGTGAGCATATATTAGCAAGACTCGAAACAGAATACCAACAGCAAAGGGGATGCAAGTGTCTCAGGCCGTGACAAATGCAACACCTTCGCTTCAGGAGCTGCACGCGTTACGCGTGAAACTCGAGGGAGCAGAGTTTGATCAGTCGCACCTCTTTAAGGGATGGCCCGGCGCCCCAGAGGCGTACACAGAAGAGCAGAAGCGAGTGCTGACAGAGCTGTACGCGTTCGCGCGCCAATATAACGGTGGCGTCGAGCAGTATGTGTGCAACGGCCGCCGCCTTCTCGCGGAGTCTGGGAACACGAAGCAGGATATAGTGTCGCTTGAGAAGCCACTGTACGCCTACGCTGCACCATCGCTCTTCGAACGCAGTGAGGAGTTGGTGAGCATGGAACAGGAGGGCTTGGGTCTTCTCAAGAAGAGCGTCTTCGTGCTGGTGGCCGGCGGGCTTGGTGAGAGGCTGGGGTACTCCGGCATTAAAGTTGGCCTGCCAGTGGAGTCGGCAACGCACCGCTGCTACCTGGTGTACTACTTTGCGTGGGTGAAGCACGTGGCGGGGCCCGATGCGCCATTTGTGATCATGACCTCCGATGACACCCATGAGCAGACACAGGCGCTCCTGCGGGAGGTACCGCACGGGATGCAGAACGTGCACCTCGTGAAACAGGGGACGGTGTTCTGCTTCACCGACACCGCCGCACACCTTGCCGTGAAGGACGGCAAACTGCTGCGGAAGCCGCACGGCCACGGTGACGTTCACTCTCTCTTGTATCAGGCACTCGAGGCGACGACGGGGCGACGTCTCGTGGATATATGGTTGCAGAAGGGCTACACCTACATCGTTTTCATGCAGGACACCAACGTCACTGCAACACTGACAATTCCAGTGAGCCTCGCGATCAGTGAGCGGGAGCGGCTGGCGATGAATTTCACGTGCATCCCCCGGCAGCCAAAGGAGGCTATTGGACTTCTCTGTGACGTGCGCTCACGCGGCGCCAACGTGTCGCACACGGTGAACATTGAGTACAACATGTTTGAGGCTGTGGCGGCCTCACTGTGGGAGAACGGTGGGGACTGCGCCGCCCCCAACTCGCCATACTCGCCTTTCCCAGGCAGCATCAACACACTGCTGCTGAAACTTACCGACTACGTACCACTGCTGGCGGAGTCGCACGGTGCGGTTCCCGAGTTCATAAACCCCAAGTACACAGACGAGGCCAAAACGATGTTTAAGCCATGTCGCATTGAATCGCTTATGCAGGACGTTGCGCTGCTCTTCAAACCGGCGGTGCACCGTGTGGGGGGGACAACTTTCACACGCTTCACGTACCAGCCAGTGAAAAACGCTCTGCAGGACGGCATCAAGAAGACAAAGGAGGGGCTGGCGGCGTACTGCGCAACGACAGGTGAGGAGAGCTTCTACGAGGCAATGCGACTTCGCCTGCATGCTGCCGGACTAACGCTGCCGTCACGACCCGATGACGCGTGTGATGTCGAGGTGAGTGGTACAATCAAGGTGCGGCTGTTCCCAGTTATCGTTGCGGACGTTGTCGCGATGGGGGCGTCGCTCGCAGAGATCTCGCAGCTTCTGCTGCCGCACCCGCAAAACGTGAAGGTGAGTGCACGGAGTGTTCTCATCGTGGAGGGACGCGTGCGCATCGAGAGCCTCGACCTCGATGGCGCATTGCGCCTCACTGGCCCGACGGACGAGCGGGCGCCACCGCTTGTTATTCGCGGAATGACGGTGAAGAACGCCAGCTGGACGGTACGGCCGACACGTGCGGGAGAGGACACCAAGGAGGTCGACAACATCCGCGGATTTGTGTTTGAGGAGCACGAGACCCAGAGAGTCCACTATGCAAAGCTTTGATGCGATGGAAAGGGCAGAAACAAAACGACGCAACTAAAAGATGCAAA